AACGAACTTACCTTAATGATGTTTAATCCTAATTATATGATCCCTCGTCGAAGAAAATAACTGACATGTAGTAACTTCGCTTGGCGTCAAGTATCACACATATAAAAGCTAAGCAAGCAAAAAGGAAAAAAATAAATGGGTCCCCCGCCCGTAACCATCCATCAGCCGCTTGCCCGCTGACTTCATTCTAGTTTAAAGCCCCTGTTGCAACGGTCAGGGAGGGATGGGGGTGGGAGTTATTTTCTTCGACGAGGGATCATATAATTAGGATTAAACATCATTAAGGTAAGTTCGTTTAATCCATGAATTATATTTCTCCCTCGTCTCGAAAATAACTGACATGTAGCCGTTTAAAGTAAGTTGCAACAAAAGTTTCAGGATAACGTGTAATACCGTATAATATACCAATACTAATACATAGTGTAAAAAACATGAAACCAAAACATTAATCTCACTTAAATTGCATTTAAACTGTAACTACTATGTAAAACTGTGTAACTATGTAAAATTTAAACTGTAACTACTAAAGAACTAAAGACATTAGGGAGTAAGAACCGCCCTCGCAAAATGCGTACCATCTGTTACTATCGGCCTGTTGTAGAAAAGCGCGAATGCCTTGGATTTTTCGGTCCAACCCGCTGCTAACCGTATTGTATCAAAAGAGATACCCTTCTTCGATGCCAGTGAGGTGGAGGCATGTCGAGTGCTGTGAGCCCCAAAATGGCTCGTATCTACGCCGCTTTGCCTTAACCCTGTTTTAAGCCATCTACTTATGGTCTGGCTGGTTGCAGCTCGGTAGGGTTTTTTATAAGTTATAAAAAAAACTAGAAACGCTACCTCGAAAGGAGTGTGTTTCTTTCAAGTACAAGAGCAAAGTCCTTGCGGGGCAAATGGAAATATTATCATCGAAAAAAGGCAATATGAGAGTTGGCTGAATTCTTTTAACTCTAGAAGTCTTAATGCGCTTCGAAATGGGAATTTCTATCTTATCAGATAGCCGCCGAATGTTATTAATTTCGATGCTCGCCAAGGTCTGAACGCGTTGTCCTGTGGCTAGCGCTAGTAACATCGCGGTCTTGAGCGTTAGAGTCTCTAAGGAAAGATGGGTGCTATTCAGCGAGCCGAAATGATTTAAAACCGTCGCGGGGTCCCACGTACTGCCATATTTTGGCAAAGGAGGCCTTAGAGCGCTTAACCCCTTAAAAAATCGCTTTACCCTTAGATCTTCGCTCAGGTTTGGACCAAACAGCTGTGAAAGCGCAGCCCGGTAAGAATTCAGCGTACTCAAAGATGTGCCCCGGTTAAATTGCTCAGTAAAAAACTTCAAAACCGCCGGTACCGAGATAACAAGGGGGTTTAAGTGTTCATTATTGCAGTATTGCCACCACATACGCAAGCCCCCATTATATTGCTTAATAGTATTGGGAGTTATTGAGGCTAAACAGATCTCTAGGGATTCAGAAGGAATCCCCATGGCTTTCAAGGCTTTGATGATACAATCCCGGCCACCAGGGTAGTTTTTCTCCATAGGGGATGTGGTATCCTGTTAAACAACAATAAATCCCTATTAGGTTTAAAAATAATTGGGGGGCCTTCTAACAGAGAAGTAAAGAGAGGGTACCACGGTTGGGAGCTCCAGAGAGGTACTATCAGTATGCCCCTGGCCTTGTCTGTTATAATTTTCCGCAGCACTCTTAGTATTAGTGCAAACGGAGGAAACGCATAGAAGAAAAAATTCTTCCAATCTATAGTAAACGCGTCAATAGCAATACTCTCCGGATCTCTCAACCATGAGACAAACTTTGTGCATTTGGCATTATTTTTGGTAGCAAACAGATCTATCTCTGGTTGACCAAAACCGTCCAAAATCTTATTGAATGCTGATACATTTAAGGACCACTCCGATTCAATCTTCAGACAGCGAGATTCTGCATCCGCAATGATATTGTCCGAAGATTTAATGTATGAAGCATATATAAACAAGTTTCGCGTTTCGCACCATTGCCAGATGATCCGGGCAAGTTCATTAAGCTTCGGGAATTTAATACTACCCATTTTGTTTATATAGGCCAAGGCCGTTGAGTTATCGACTCGACAAAGGATGTTGCAGTTACTTAGGTTTGCAGCAAAGCATTTCAGACCATAAGACACCGCAAGAAGTTCGAGATAATTTATGTGGTGATGCCTTTCTGAATCTGACCAAAATCCCCGCGATTTCTCCGAAGAACAACTAATGCCCCATCCAGTCAAAGAGGCGTCTGAAAAAATCTCAATACTGAAAACATCTAATCGAATCGGGTTTATCGCGCATGGTAAGTTGCTTAACCACCACTGTAATTCCTTTAAAACTTGAGAGGATATGTCCATTTCTTTATTATAGTTGCCTGATGTACCCAGCGCCAAATACTTTTCTCTTTCAAGCAGTTTCGTGTAAAGCCAACCGTATTTAACGGCAGGGCACACGGAAGTCAAAGTTCCTAAAACTGTAGCAAAGTCCCTGATTGAACAGCGTTGTAATAGCGAAAATCTGTTAAGCAATTTTAATGTTTTGGAGATTTTTGTAGATGGTAAACTGATGGACATATCTATTGAATTGTATACAAACCCCAAGTACTCAATCTCTTGTGACGGGACTAGTTGACTTTTCTCCAGATTCGGTATAAACCCCAAAGACGTGATAAGTTTCAGAGTCTCTTTAACATTGTGAACACAACTCTGACGAGTGTTTCCAAATAATAAAATATCGTCTAAATAAACTACTGAAATAAGTCCCTTTTTTCTAAGGTGTGCAAACACTGGTTTCATTAGTTTGGTGAATATTCGAGGAGCTACATTTAGTCCAAATGGCAAACAATTGTATTCATATATGTTACCTTCAACCTGAAACCTAAGATATTTCCTGTGGTTTTTATGAATGGGTAATAAAAAATAGGCATCTTTTAAGTCAATCTTGGCCATAAAGCAATTAGTAAAAAGAAGCCTGGCAACAGTGCGATGATCCTCCATCTTAAAATGCTCGCAAGCCACAAATTTATTTAATTTTTTGAGATTTAGGATGAATCTGTAAGATCCATCCTTTTTGGGCCTGAGAAAAAATTTAGACAGAAACTGATTTTTGCATGGTTTGACCTTGTTTATGGCCCCCACAGACAGGAGTTTGTCAACAGAGCGTTGTACCGCCGCCCCTGGGTAGCCAGACCAACCGGGCCTATTGGATATTCGCTGCGATGGTAATTTCCAAAATGGAATTTTAAGGCCTTTTACCCAACTTAAAATTACCCTGTCATTACAAAACAAATCCCACTTTCTAAAGAAAAACTTGGGTCTGCCCGCTAGCACCCTAACCTTTAAAAGTGGCCTCGAAAACGGTGCTTCTTCGGGTCCCTCGGAGGTTGTCTGAACTGCTGTGGAGCTTGTTGTCTGAGTGGGTAAGGAGCTTGTTGACGGAAATTGCCCCTTCCTCGGTGAGCTCCCCGCAGGACCCGAGTCGGGGCTCTGTAGTTTAAAGACCTTGAACTCAAAGCACTAGTGTTGGATCTTGACCTTGATGGTGTTGAAGCGGTTTTGGGGGGTCTTGCTTTGAGGGTTTTTCCACAGTCTTCCAAATTTTTGAAAACTTTTAACCTTTCCTGTAGATCTTCTCCAAATAGAAAGTTATCCAGGGAAATCCGCTTATTGGCTTCTTGAAATTCCTTACTCAGGTTGATAGAGATTAAGTCCCTGCGTGTGACTGTTTGAAAATGCCACAAATCCGCCAACAAACTCCCTGCCCCATATAACAGTTCAATATGATGCCTGTCTCCCCCCCCTGGCTCTGCTAGAATTGAACTGAGGACCTGGCCCACGGCGGAGATGCTGCCTACCACCAATTGTTGTAGTTTCTGCAATTTAAGGTCTCTTGCAATTTGCGACAGAGAAATGGCTTTTTCCAACATTGCATTTAATTGTGGTGCAAGTAATTTCTGGAAATTTTCAGGTGGAGGGAGTTTTGACAGAGACTTGTTCCTGTCTTCATCTGACAGCCCTGATTGCAAAATGCTTTCCCACCGTGGCACCAAATTACCATTAATTTTTGGCCCATGCACAATGGTGGGTGCCTCATTAGGTCCTAAGATGTCCAACACATCTTCACTTAGGGCCGCCGCTGAACCTTGGGCGGCCTCCCCTTCGAAAATAATGTTATCTAAAACAACGCCTTGTGTTAAAACTCAGAGGCACACAAAGCTGGCAAAAACAAAAAATGTTGTCAAATGTTTTCGCACATAGAAACCTTACTATGTTAACGAGAGTTCAAAAACTCACTGCTTGAGCTTAAAAATAAGCCTAGCGTCCAAAAAAATTTTGAGCGTTCATTAGCTCAGTAAATCATGTTTCATAGATTCATTACTATGAAGAAGAGTGCTCAACGACTCTTAATGAACATACCCTGTATGTTCTTAATCCTACTGTAACAAAAGTAGAGATTCTTCGAGTGCTCAATGACTCGGATAAATAAAGGTAATAAAGCAAAGCCCCTTACCTGCCATTGAAACGTCCTCTGCTACTGCGTCGCTCGAAATCGGAGAGTCTCGACTGCGACGGACCTCACTAATGCGGATGGGAAATCCGCAGCGTGAGCGTGAACGAGAGCGAGAACGAGAAAGGGAGCGAGACCGTCGGTGACGAATAGGCGACGGACTGGCAGCCGCAGGAGACGAGCTTCTGGACGATGACGAAGACGAAAGTAAACGTCGACTTCTACGTCGCCGCCCCCGACCTTCAATTCCTTTAACTCGCCTCTCCAAATCCTCCAACACCTTCAGGATCCTGCCACTCTTCCCCTTAGGACTCCGTGCCCTAATACGACGAAACCCCGGCATAACCAAAACACTGCGCAAAGAACAAAAAAAGGAACGAACGGAAAAAAAATTTTCCAGACGTGCGAACGTACTGACACACAAACAAAGAATGAAGTCAGCGGGCAAGCGGCTGATGGATGGTTACGGGCGGGGGACCCATTTATTTTTTTTTTCCTTTTTGCTTGCTTAGCTTTTAAATGTGTGATACTTGACGCCAAGCGAAGTTACTACATGTCAGTTATTTTCGAGACGAGGGAGAAATATAATTGCACTTCGGTTTTCGTGCTTGGACATCAAAGTATGTTATCCTTTCTTTCTTCTAATGCTGACAGACTAATCCTTTACCTGTACCCGTCGTAAAATACACGGATGATTGATAGTGATATTTCGGAATATCTTAGGGGATAGCCCATAATTATGAAATGTATAATGTATAACCAAAAATATTTTTGTAATTTTAGAGTGTTTTGCACTTACAAACATTTAGTAGTATTTTTTATTATTTATTCTGCTGACGGCGACTTGACCGACGGCGAGTTTGTCCGACGGCGAGTTTGTTCGACGGCGGGTCGGCGACGGCGAATCGCCAACGGCCAGTCGGCGACGGCGAGTTGTCCTAGACCTCAACTGGCACTGTGCCACACGGGTTCTGATGAGATGCTCAAGGGTATAAATGAAAGTGCATCGCCTATGGCATAGGCATAGGCCTTATGCGGATGAGGCTTCGTTAATCCTATCGGACAAAGATGCTTCAACTCTCACCACAAAAAGTCTAAATACAATGAGCATCTACTAGGTTCGCTCACAATAATTTAAAATTAATTAAAGACAAAACACGTCAGTGGCAAATGTGCTAAAGTTTACGCGAGAGTTTACGTAGACGATAGGTTGAGTTGGAGCAGTCATGTCGACCATAGTGTACAGAAATTGTCAATGTCACTATTTGTATTAAGGCATCTTAATAAACGATCAATGAGTGTAGATACTTTAAAATCCTGCTACTTTGCACTATTTCACTCCTATCTATAATATGGTGTTACCTTGTGGGGTAATATCCAGCTTTTATTCTAAAAAAAAAGTAATTCGCGTGCTGGTAGGTGCTCACTATCGTGCGCACTGTCAGCCCTACTTTAAGCAATTGTGCATTATGCCATTTCCATTCATATTCATTCTCGTGGCAGGATTGGAAATTTTTAAAAATAAAGCTAATTTTTTGACAAACGACTTTCAACACTCTTACAATACCCGTGGAGCAAAAAATATTAGGACACTATAGGTACTACAGATTAGAGACATAAAAAAAACCGTCTACAAGTAGAGCTGTACAATATTCTTCCGGAATCTATAAAAGCGCTTACCTACCATAATTTTAAAAATAGTTTTAAGATGTACATTCTTAAACATTGATTGTACTCCGTGTACGAATATTTAAATACTAAGATGTCCGTTCCTAAATGTTAGATGTATTAAGTTTAGTTAGTCACATATTATAGATTGATTGGACCAATGTAATTTTATATTGTATTCTTTATAGATATTATGTTTATGTGTAGAACTTTACGTGTCGTAAACCAGATGGTATAGCATGACGAATAAAAATATTATTATATTATTATTATTACTCCATTATCAAAAATCATTAAGAAATAGCTAATAGAAACAAAGGTTTATTGCAACCAACAAACGATCCTGAGCCTAGTGAACTTCTGATAATATAAATAAACCCCTAAAGAGCATCTAAAAAAGCGGCAGAGCACCTCGGTGTGACCCTACGGGGTCATTGGATTTAACCCATTTTCAATAGGCTTATTACAAGTGGCCTATAGGTCAACTGTGCAAAGTTTGAACGAAATCGGTCCAAGCGTTTGACAGTTATCGTGTTCACGGACTGACATCATCGACTCCCCTATAAAGCTTGCATGCTTTGCTCTGCCGCTTAATAATCATCCATCAATCAACTAATAATGGAAAAATCAATCTTTACTACTTTTCACCAACCGTTGTTGGTCGAAAATTCTCTATTACCAGATTGATTCGACGAAGCCCGAGTTAATCAAGCAAATTCATGAAAAAAAAACACTTTCAACTCGTTTCGTACACGAAATTTTTTTGCGTAGTGATCCATAATAACCCACAATTGAATAATTTTATTGACATTCGCGATTTACTGTCACTCAAAAAGGGATGCTATTGTTCATAGACATAGAAAAAGTACCACTTTCCATACGATTTTTCGTTAAAAAAAGTTCGATAATTTCATCACTATGTAAAAAATGAGATTTTGGCACCAAAGTCATATAAAGCTCATAATTTATTTGACAATTCAACTCGTGTATAAAAAATCGCATAAGCCGCAGTGCAATTGTCACTTTGACAGCGGCAAAAGTTACCTGCAACTTTTCCAGCGACAAATGCACTGTGGTTTTTTCACTTATTCATTTTCGAACCAATTATCGCATTATCCGTTCCCATGTGACTAGTTTGACGTCTGTCAATAATTGATTAGTTTGGTGAATTTCAGTGGCATAGTTTGGAGAGTTTGCTGTTCATTGTGTCATCGGAGTACTGTTATCTGTTGAGATCAGTGTTACTTCTGCCCATCCGTTTGCAAGACTGATTAAAACTATTAAAAGTATATCTTGCTCATGGCTACTTCGCACTAGCATATGAAGCATGCAGTTTTGTTACGACTTTGCTTTCACTTCAGGAACCTTGGACGCAAAGCGAAACAAATAAAAACAGCTCATCGGAGTACACAGAATTGAGCACAGATTAAAACTTAATTTACTCAATAATTTGTTTCTCGTACATTTCAGGGGAAAAAGTAATTTGTCGCAAAATTAAAAAGTAATCTGAGCATTGCGATTACTTTTATACGCTACCTACTTTTTCTGCTAGTCACGCTTTAAATAATAAATACAAGCCGTTTGTTTAGATTTAACTTTGATTAATTTATTCGAAACTACGTATAATTTATCAAAAATATACAAATGTGTATAATTTATTTCATCCTTTGTGGCCCTTGTTGTAGGGATTTGATTAGTTCCTTCTCTCTTCTCGCCATTTCTTCGTACAGATCTGCCAAGGCTGGGTTTGGTGTGTAACGCTCGTTGATTTTGATCAACTAAAATGGAACATGTGTATTATTATGTCTAGAAAACTATTAACCGCACCGAAAGACAGTAATGTATTAATTAAGGTGCCTAGGGCGCTATGAAGCAAACACGTACAATGACGACGGTGTATATGCTACAGAACCCTAAAGGGCTAAAGCTAGATAAACAAGTTCCGATCGAGTAAAATTAATAATCATAACGCTTATGATCCATTTCTGCTAGTGACGTTTTTACTAAATGATGACTGATGAGTAATGAAAATTGTCGCATTGCCAGTAACAAACTTAACAAGATGCAGCGAAGGCTAATATACATTAGTATTTATTTATTTGTTGTCCCTCTTGTTCTAGGCCCTCAACACGCTTACGCCCAATTACAGAGTGACCCGCATAATGCTTTTTAGAGGTGCCCCTGCAGAAGGTCTTAAGTTGTTCTATGCTACTCCGGTATTTACCTTACGAATTTGGAAAACCTTATTCGGTGTAGCCGGAAGAATGCTCGAAAGATTACTAAGGAAATTCCCATCTCTGCCACAGATGAAAAATTCCTACCTCAGTCCAGGCTCGAACACCTAACCTCCGGTTTTGTAGCCCAGCGCTCTACCACTGAGCTACAAAGCCGGTCAATCATTATGCAATAATAATAGTAATAATCCGAACAAACAAGTACACCAAGTGATACAACATATACTACACTCAGAGGTTCACCCACTAAAGTTGTAAGTATTAGCACAAGCCTTCCACTCTGAAACAAACCACATTATCACAACCCACTCGTATTCAACCCAAACGGAAAAACCTAAACAATACTTCTGACTCACAACATGCCACACAACATATACCTCTCGCCAGGAAAGATTGCCGGTCACAGAAGACCTGATCCCGGTCTACAATCTGTGTTTTTCTAAAGATGTGAGCGACTTCCGGGATAGGATCGTGCCAATGTGAAGGAAAAGTCTTTTTGTTGAACTTTGGCACGATCCTATTCCGGAAGTCGCTCGCATCTTAAAAAAAACATTGATTGTAAATTGACACAAGGTGTGCTGTGACCGGCAATCTTTCCTGGCGAGAGTTATACTGTAATATCTCCACCATTAATCCAAGCAACCACACAAATACAACCTCGAATACAACTTACACAATAAATACAAGTAACGCAATATACACTACATCTACAACTACATTCTCGCACAGCTAAAAAACACAAAACTCTTTCTTCTCAGAAGCACACCACGCTCGACACCACGTTATCACAACCCACTCGTATTCAACCCAAACGTAAAGTCAAACAAACACTTACACAATAAACAACGCCACTTAATTAAATTGCTAAACTTGTAGGAAATGTGTGTGTTTTTATTATTTTTTTTTTATTAGTTTTATTTATTTTTTATCATTGTAATTTTTTTATACTATCATTTATCAAATAATAAAATTTAGGACTCTACAAAACTTGGCTAGACGAATGACGTACAGACAAACACTAATCGTTACTTGATTTTAATCCGTGCGATTAGTTAACCAGGCTAATAATAAACAATGGTAGGGGCATAGTAACGTAACGAGCGTTAAACAATTGTTTGGGTAGGTGTTGGCCTTGGTTTCACTTTTAGCATGAACGTAGGACCGTTGATAAGCGTATGGTTACATGTCAACTCCAACTCCAATTTGAAAAGTATGCAACAAGTTTAAAAGCTGTCATGTGTTTGCCTGCGACAACAGGCGATCTGACCTAAACCCACATTACACGTAAGAAAAACCTTTGTACCTAGGTACTAACACCTAGCTTCAGATTTACTTTCTATGAATTGTGGCTCAATAGCACATGGAATTATTGCTTAGTTTTTAAATTAGCAGTATTTTAGATACCATTCGTTATCTTTTGGTCTCGCGAAGAATTGTTAGATGGTCTTTCAAATATTACGATTCATTGTGCCATTTATTGAATGGAGGAGGTGGATGAGATGAATGGCTTGAAACAAAAGTAAAATTTGCCCCGTGCAATACTGTTGTTGAGGATGAAAATTTTAATATGGTTTATAAATAAATTTTATATATTACCAAACACCGTAAGGTAACTCGTTTTTTATTAAATCTAATCTCGAATCTAATAATATAAATAATGAAAAGCTTCATCAAACGTATTTAATATGGATATCTTGGGCTAGGCAAAATTCTAACTTCTAGAAAAAGTTCTAGAAATTCTAGATATTTTTACTCCATAGGGAAAAATGTTCCAAAGCCCACTCGTGGGTTTTGCCGCGTAACACAACTGTAAATGATGAGTAACGGGCAAATGTAGACCATATCCTTCAATGAGCGAAAACCCAAAGTCTCGAGGTGGCGCAGGAGCCGATATCTGGATGGAACAGACAGACAGACGACGGAAAATCGAGCGCATAAGGTTACGTTATCTTCGTTGTGTTACTACACTAAAAAAGGGTGTTGAATAGATGATTGTAGATATTTTAGATTCTAGTGGTAGTAGTAGTAAACATTCTAACTTAATTTAGAGGAGAACTGCACATTGGAGTGGTATTTTTTTATTTTAACGCAATAAGCGCAAGTACTTTAGCTTTATAAGGCGAATAAGAACTAATAAATCGATTGATTGGGACTCCCTAAGCTGCAAATGTGCTTCGAATCCGTGAATGTTTCTTTTATTGTGTATGTCGTTTAGTCTTGAGAATCTGGGAATGGGAATACAACGGACAGAATTTGTTAACTACGCATAGTAAAAAAATTCAGCAGTCAAAAGCTTTTTTCGTTGCTGTTCGCGAAACGGATGGTACTGTAGGGAATTCAGGAACGACATGAGGTATGAGATCGATTTGTAAAGGAACATTTCCCAGTTTGCTAATTTTTTATTTCACTTTCATTACAGTGTCGCTATCCTATTTACACTATACAGCATCGGGCTCCCAATGTTGATTCCCAACTGAGCGAAGCAATTTCAAAGTAATAATAATAAGTGGCGTCATATTAACAAGTGGCCACTTGTTAACGATATTAACAAGTGGCCACTTGTTAACGATAATTAGTTGTGATATTTCAATTTTTTTAATGAGTGTCTCTTTAAGTTGATACCAATTATCGAAACCCCATCACATGAGATCTGGGATCAAAAAAGTAGGTACATTTACGCTTTGTGCATTTCATTAATTTGGAAAGTAACCGTAAAATTGCGCTTAGTGAAAACATTGTAAACAAAAGTAATTCATAACTGCTAAGTCTAAATGAATATTCCAAAACCGAACATGGGCAAACGTTTTTTTTGCAGATTGTTGCTTCCCATGTTATTATGTTATTGTTTCAAAAAATAATGTAGACATATTTGGTTTAGTTACTTCTTAAGCTTGTAAAAAAAACAATGTGCTATGAGGAAGTACACTAAAAACAAAAATATCCACGTAAATAGGCAAGTTCGCTCCACTTGGTATTAAGAAGGTTAACCCTCCGGTACGATCATGCAACAAAAAAAGGACTAAAGAGCATCTTAATTAAGCGTTTCCAATAAAAAATTGCGAGAAATGCCCTAAATTTTCCACAATGTTACTCATATAACGTCATTCTTAAGTTGGTAAAATTGAAAAATTTGAAGTGACAGCTAATTTTTGTAAAACTTGGAAGTTATATGAACTTCTTCGTCTACTGAATTGAAATATGCTGGGTTTAAAGTGTACACCAACAGGAATACAATAAAAGTAGTATAATAGATTTAATGTACAATACAATTTTAGGGTTAATTCGACTTATACACTAAATAGGCGACACTTCCTTGTCACATGTCGATACACCTTAATAAAACTACTTTTGGAAGCGGATGCAGTTTAAACTTGGACGCCTTAGGGGAATGTGTAGAGAAGGTTACATTTTGCATCAGACAAAGATGGACTTTTCCGTATCGATCACCGAGAGGGGAAACTCGGTCACCTCGTACATGTTCCATACACCAATTCTGTCGTATCAACCGCCGATTAACTTTGAACACCTCTTCCTTATCAGCCGGTGACTAGCCTCGACCGCCTTATCTTTCGCATCTTCCATAGACCGCGTCTTTGTTAGCGACCGCCGATTAACTTCAAACGCCTTCTCCGTATCAGCCGGTGACTAGCATCGACCGCATTATCATTCGAAAGGGAAAGGAACATCTTTCGCATCTTCCATAGGCCGCGTCTTTGTTAGCGACCGCCGATTAACTTCTTCAACTTCTATTTACCGTTTTGATCGATACGAAACGACGGATTCAACAGATCAATCGTATCGTGGGACTCTTTACAGGCTTAAAAAAATTAAGTGCGATCAGGTTGTAGTAGAAAATCTTCAGAAGTACGTATATTTTGTAAGTATTTCAAACCCGAAAATTGCTGCCCATCGGTAAATAATGTACACATGAATTATGTATAATTGTACATCACATCATTTTTTTAACGTTTATTCAATCGTGGAAAAATAGCATAACCTATTAAGAAGTTGAAGTTGGAATGTTATGCACAATCTTACCAACTTAGAAGTAATCATGAAATTTGAAATAATGTAACCTCACATTTCGACTAAAAGTGGATTGTGCAAAATTTAAGGCTTCTCCCGCAAATTTTGTTGTTGAAAACAGTTAATTTAGGTGCCCTCTAGCCATTTTTATTAATTTCATGATCGTACCTGGTGTGCTTATTAACGGCCGTGACCATTTATTTATTTATTATTACCCAACAGACAAGGTACAGTAAACATGTTAATAACACAAGTTGTAACTAATTACATTTATAAAACAAAACATTGTGTAGACAGCTTAACAAAATAAGTAATAATAACTAAGATATCATATAATGTAGTAGTGAAATGTAGAAAAATGATGAAATCTTAAATAAAAATTATTAATAATTATTAATAAAGAGTCGTAATTTATATCAACATGTTCAGAAATTAAAGTATAATACATTTGAAAAATTAATTTAAATACGCACATTGCACATATTGAAGACCAGTTTCATAATCACGCAAAATTTTCCTTAATTAAAGTTAACTTTTATGTCCAAATTAAGAGGACCGTTGTGGACGAATCTCTCCATTTCGAGTGGAAAATAATATTAAGTTAAAAATTGTAAACATTAATGATATTGAGACGGTAGCTTGTAACGAATATCATAGAATAGCTCGTCTTCAACAGCAACATTAATTCATTAAAATCGCCTTTAGTTGGAGGGGACTTTTACGTGATTATGAAACTGGCCCTTAACTATCTCATTTGTTGATGTGTTTTTATGAAATGTTATCGAGTAGTTTGTGGAGGTATCTTCCTCAAATTAACCATAGGTGATTCTAATGGGACAAACGTAGCACTCGAACCTGATGCGAAATACGCGCTTGCGTGCTGTGCTCTCTTTCGCCAAGAAAATCTAAAAATGTCGCCTTAAACACATGGAACCGCCTTTCCAAAGAGTAAGATAGTGTTTGTGACTGGAACGATGAAGAGATTAATTAGTAATGATTTAATGAAGCGTTTCAAGCGTTTTTAGAAAATCCACTTTAACTAACCGAACCCGAACTAGTTCCGCTTTATTTTAAATAAATGGTCATAGGCGTAAGTATACCAAAAAATGGAATGGTACATTTTCCCAATGAAATGGTGGTCAAAATATTCCTAGAAATATTCCGTGCCACAAAAGGAACCTAACCGAACCTGCCTACAACGTGCCCTTGCAAACATTCTGGAGAATATTCTCAGGCGGTAAACGGGGCCAAGTTAAGTTGTCCCCTTTCTAGATTGTTAATATCTATTTCTCGTATAGACCAACTCATAATGTTTGTATATGCTTAGAAGTTGTGTATTCTGAATTGGCTGGTACATTTTTACCTTTAAAAATAAAGGATGGACTTGCGAAATTGTACCTAAGGCATAGGGTTTTAAATCATTGTATCGGATATATGCTCTAAAGGCTACACTATCAAACCACTATAGCAGATTTTTCATTGACATGCCTATTGCAATTATTTTTGCCGATATAGTATAACTATATAGTTGACTCGACAGACGTTGTCCTGTCTCAGCTATGAATATTCAATTCGAACTGGAGATAATAATAAAGAAGTTATTTCAAAAACATAATGCTTTCTGATAAACAACATTGTTAGTTTTGTTTTCTGGTGTTTGAATAAAGTTGAAGGTTTTCCAATATGGAACAGGCGACAGACAATTGGCCATGTGCAAAACATGGATTTTCCAGATTGATTTCACAAACACGTCCACTGCCCTTGCTATTTAATTTTCGATATTTCCAAATGTAAGCCGAACTGGAAATTGTAAATGTTTAAAGTCGAATGGCATGTCGTTCACTCGTTCGGAATCATACGGATGCGAGGAATCAAAAAATCTTCGCGTTTGCCCTTCCCTTTTGAAATTATGACTTCGATCATTGTTATTAATTTCAGTACCGCATGGCGGGTGCCATTACTAAGACACTGAAGCAACTGAAAACTGGATAAACGTTTCAATCGAATGGACTTGTAATAAGAAATGAATTAATTATTTTTTCATGCGTAGATAGATGCCGACCGATACAGCCGTTAACATTTACTGCGCGCCAACTGTCAAAGGCGCGAATTATCACACGCGCGAAGTTTAAGTCGTTAATTTTTCTGCCGTTTTTCAATTTTCTGCGCAATTTCCTTAAGAACCTTCTATGAAGTATTCGAAAATTTTAAAAAAGTTGAATGAAATCGGTAAAGTCGTTGTAAAGTTATTTCGTGACCAGAAGAAATAGGGGTACATTTTTATATATAGAGATATAAATATTTCAAACTTTACTTCAAATGTTATGCAGTTACAAGGATACTATTCAATTTACACAGGTGAAAAAGTAATTCATGTTGACCTACTCTAACCAAAACAAAATTAGAAATTAATGAAAACTGTTCAGCAAAATAAAAAGAAGTAATGTCATGTGAGAAAAAGAAAGAGTACTATTGTTTGCTATCGCGGGAGGGGAAGGGGTGATTTTTTTTAACTATAATTTAAAACAACCCGACATCTAAATATTCTAGATGGCAATACCTTGGCAACGCTGATTTCGATAATTATTGCTACTTCGCGCATCGCCTAGCCAGACAAATTTGTAACGTCACTGTTTTACGTATAACAAATATAAATGACGTACCTTCGCGGTGAACAGTTTCTTTAACAAACAACATTGTACATTACTAATTTAGCAAGAAACGTGTAAATTTTAGTTTTTGTTTCTGCCTAACGACCTTTGGTGTAACAATATTCACTACTGTTAGAATTACGTAGCTATGTTTTGTTTATGTATAGCTTCCAAAATATTTACATGCATATATACTTCTTAGATTATGTGAATAATTAGATAACTTTATAACATAGTTAACTTTAAGAATCCAGAGATTCTGTAGAACCTAACTAGTGTCGCATCGTTGCCAATTACACATGTAGAAATAAACTGCTGCCAATTTTTCTGTGTAGCAAAACTAATACGCCTTAATGTAGATCTTGCATTGATTTGAAAATGACAATGATTATTATTTTACTTAAAGTGTCGCAGGGGAGTCTGGTTTGACAAAGCCATGTATCTGCAAGGACTTCGATGGACGATACGCCATCAATTCCGTCTTCTCGAGGTACACAAGGAACGAGCCATTTTTTAAGGTAACAACCGGCGGTCATTCGTAGCAGCCAGTAGCGTAGCGGTTCGGATATTTGGATTCTATATCATATGCCTGTCGTTACTTTTGTGGTTACCATATTGGAATTGTGTCATTTTTTGTCTTTTACACTGTGTTTAGATATGTATTCTACTAACAAATGGTGATCAAACTAGCCAGTCACTTTTCTTACTTTTAGTGCCGATGCCATTTTATTTAAGCACAATTACATCAGCGCTTAACACCGCATTTGCATGTATGTATCTGCCAATGATTGTGTATTTTTAATTCTAACTATCAACGGAGTATACGAAATGACAGTAAACGAGGCAATAATTAGCGCACAACTTCCACGAAAAATGGAAAAGCTTTCCGCAACCAGATTTCATTTTCACATGGACACCACATTGATTTTCAGTCACCTCGTATACACCTTTTCTATTATGTATTACTTAATCCACTAGCCATTTGATCTTCATTTTCATTATTAATTCCTATTAATTGTTAGTGAGCCACCAGTAACTGTATATACGTATATACGTATATAACAAAATTATACTATTCCCCATATTTTATCTTTGGATTGATATGGATACCTAGAATCAAAGTAGCACAGATCAAAAAATTCTAGTTTGGGATTATTTGATGTCGAATCTAAAATATGATTTTTGTGCAATTGATGAGTTTAAATTTACTGCGCTTACAGTTTAGAATTTTTTCAATTAATTTTTATTTAAAAAAAATCGAACACGCTGTTGCTGGAAACAAAAGTTTTATGAATACGTATACGTACAATTTCACATCTTTTCGTAAAATGTTTTGATCAGTTTCAAATATGTACTCGACTTTTTTTTATTATTGGTGGTACGAAGTTGGGCAAATTAAAAAAAATGTGATGGTATAAAAATACGTATTTGTTTATGGAAACACATGTTGTGATAGGAGATGAACAGAATTCGCAGTCAGCCATGTTTTTTTTTATCTTAAACAGACACCATGATGCGAGTCAATACAATAGTAGCCCAAAAAAACCCGTTATTCTCGGTTGTTTAATATTTGCATATTAGGTAAAGAAGCGTGTACTAGGATTGTGTGTCGGACGAATGCCAAATTATTAACGGCAAGTTAAAAAGTCATTATGCAAACATAAATGGCGAGAGCGTATTTTCCTCCTAATAATATTAATACTAGGACCGGAAAAAAATACCGGTAGGCACGAGATCCTTACCCCATTCTCTTTCAAATGAGCCGCCTATCGTCGAAGTCTATACAGTTTAATGAAAAATAGTGGAGCGTATATAAATACAAACAAATGAAATGGGCATTAGTTTTACTTTTATTAGAAGTGTTTACATATTATGAAACTTTTTTTAATGCTTTCGTACATAGCATTGCGCATTGTCTATATTCAAAGTGTCTACATATGATATTTCATTCAACTGATTTCATAAATAAAAAAGTTGCCATTGCGCATGCGCAAAACCAAACTGGTGTTAGGTTTGCTTGTATTGCAAGTGACTATGTATTAAATTTCATTTAAATGCTTCTGTAAATAAGGAAGTTGGCATTGCGCATGCGCAAAACCAAATGTTGCAACTGGTGTTAAATTTGTTTTTATTCCAAGTGGCTATGCTGATGCATCAAATTTCATTTTCGTGCTTTCATAAATAAGACAGTTGGTATTGCGCATGTGCAAAACAACATTTTGAAAAAGTCGTTAATTTTACTTATATTCGTAGTGTTTACATACAAAGTTTCTTTAAATATCTTCATAAATAAAAAAGTTAGCATTAAAAAGGTGCGTATACATCTGCCGAACCGAGCATGTAATGTAACGTGTAATGTAACAAATTCGGACAATTGGGACGGCGCCGCGAGCACGAAGCGAACAGGTTCGCAGTGTGCTCGCTCGCTCCGTCAAAAGTCGGTTTTTGTGACGAGCACAAAGGGATTCGCGTGCTCGATTGGGACGTGTTTTTAGTTTAACCTTCCTGTTCTTGACGTGCTCGCGAGCATTTAGGCTTGTTTAAAATGGCGCAGTGGTCAGATGAAGGTTTTCAAAATCACTTGGTGTCATCCTAGTGAAGTTTTTGTATTGTCCGCTAATGTGCTGAATCTTCATATCAAGCAGTAATTCAGATCCTGTTCGTTTTTTGAATAATTCGGTTTTCCACCATCGTCTGTCTCGTCTTGTTTTTCTTTTACGCATCTCTTCCATAATAATAATAATAACTATGGATCCGCTTGCTAACAACAATGCTATCGCTTCTTCATTGGAAGACATGGCACAATAAATAAACAATTTCTGCACAACCACTGAAAAACAATTCGCCTGCAATGGTCAAGCATGAATGGAGCGACCTACGAATATGTTCGCGCTCGTACTGTTTAAATCAAACGAGCATTACATTACACGTTACATTTCATGCTCGGTTCGGCAGATGTATACGCACCTTAACCAAATTTTTGGCACTGCCCTTTCAAATGATGGGGGGTTGAAATTAATTTGATCTTTCATGATTGACACTGATTCTAATTTCTAATTAATGGTTTCAACAAAAGGAACTGTTTTCTTCTACCAACTACCGCCCTTCTTTCTGATTCCTTATCATGAGAGGGGGGTTTGGGGGAAACTGGTTTTCTCCTTCATGGTACTCTAAAGAAAGGTCTCAACTAAACGATTTAATTTCTACCAACCATAGTTCTCTTCCTCGACCCCTAATCGGATATAATTTCTTATATATCAAGAACAGATGCGATGTAAAAACTTAATTGTGAATACCTGGAAAATGTTGGAGGAAAATGAAATATTTCGGAGATTCTCTAAGGGCTTGATTCTTCTTGCATTATATACCATACATTTTGCATGTATGCCACGCGGCCATTGTCGCAATAATCGTTGCTATGGATTTTAGGCTACGCTTAAGCTAAGCTCCGCTTAAATTTGTCGATGCAAACGGCCATAAATGATTGTGTAAAGAGCCTCTTCCCCATTAATCGTATACCAAGAAAGTTAACAGTAATAAATAAGTATAGCATGCTACTTCGATTTTTTTAAAAAAAAAGCTTTGTTTGTTCACCTGATTTCAATGAAGAATGAAACAATGAACCCACTCTATACTATACTATACTATTTTGATCTTTCAAAGAAAAATTTAATGTGTGCACATGCATTTAGTAGGTATTTATGAATTTGGAGATATTACATGAATAGAGACAGATCTATATAATATAAGGTTTCACAACTACAATTTTTTTATCATATATACAGATAAAGACATTATTTACATTGTGTACTTTGCAGATGAAGCGTTTTATAATTGTGAATGACTTAATTTGTTCGTCAGTTAAATCGAGCAACGTTTTAGAATATCTAATTAAATTGTAATTGATGTTCATGTGGAAAATCTCGGAATCTTCAGGCTCAGGCTCACGGTTTTGCAATTCATTTTATCATCGGATTAATATTCCCAAATTAACAAGAGATATGCCCCACATAATAACACTAAAACTCCAGATTTTGACCTGATGGTGGACTTTGAGTGGAAAGGATAACGTAACGAATCCAGAGTGTCGCCTACGACACATTATCGTACTACGTTCGATTATATTGCTTGTAATTGTGACACTTTAGCCACTGTAGGGGTGTAGCAAAGGGGAAGATGTATTTTCAAATATGCTTTCTCGGGGAAAAATAATAACTTTTCTATGCTCCGTAAGAAAATAATTTTTTTCACTACTAGCGTCTGATGACATGATTATTAACCTTTTTTCCACTTGTAAAGTAGGCTTTCTCGGCATTTGTTCAAAGTGGTTAATAATTTTTTATTATTAACTAGTAGTCAATAATGAGAAATGTCACGCTGTCACTTTTAGAAAACACAACCCGAAATTTCGCTCAATGAACGTTTAGACAAGTTCTCTAAAACGAATAATTGCCACCATTCGCATTTTCCAGAGAAATTACATACCTAAAATTATCACATTTTGAAAAAATTCGAACGAAATTACTCTTTGAAAAATCTCAATGACAGAACAAAATACGGCCTGTTTGACTTGTACTTCACGTACTTGATTGACATGTTAAATTAAGAAACAAACAATTCTGTCCAACCGTTAACTCTCTTATCAATATAATATGTTAATTTAGAGGATTTCAAGTGCTAGTAGTGAAAAAAATAGTATATATACCACGGTAGAGAAGTCTATTACTTCGCACCTTACACCCCTCGGCGCAAGCGCCTCGAGATGTAATCTTGGTGCTCAGGCAATAATAGTGGACTTCTCTACCTTGATATATAATGTACTATTACTTTACTCAATAGCAATAACTGCCTTTGGTCTACATTCATTTTTCGCATGCGCGACTGCTTTTTGGTGGTCATTTAAGAGGACAAATTTCGCACATATAGAAATTGTCCTAGGGTGGAAACTAATTACTTACGAGTTACTACTCGTATGTATGTACATAATTAAACATGATACATAATACGTAACACATACATAACGGATACATAAGTCGAGGGAGAGAGAGAGAGAGAGAGCATTTATTTCAACCACGAATGTGGTGTAACTGTCACACAATAACAACATAAATAAAAAACACAATAAAGTACAATAAATAATATAAATATATCTATAAAAAAGAAATGTAAATAGGTATATATATTAAAATTTATTTATATATTTTTTTTTTTTTAAAATATGACTAGCATTTTTGATATTCGTAAAGAAATCATCCAGTGTGTATAGCACCATTGATTGAAGAATTTTTCTAATTTGGTTTTTAAAAGGAGCCAACATTGTAATACATTTGACATGTGCCGGAAGGACATTATAAAATCTCACCCCCATCTGTAGGTAGGACGAGTTATGCACCTTACTTTTTGATCTCATTATAGAAAAGTTATTTTTCGTTCTCGTATTATATGAGTGGTTATCACAATTTAATGAAAATAATTTTTTGTTTTTGAACACGAAACATAAACATTCAAGCACATATAA